TTGTGAACCAAGGAACCAGCATAGCACTGCAAAGCAGGAAAACTAGAGTTAACAGATGTAATAGCACCAGTTATTAAAAACACAGTTCTGAAGAGCAGAAAGCACTACAAATGAAAGGATTGAGATACTTTCTTTTAGAAGCCTTTGAGAGAGAGCATTCACACTTTCATATAATGGTTAGCTACATGCAAGTTTAAGATCTAATGCTTTCCAACACAGAGGAAAACAGACTTTCCTGGCGTATTGACTGGATGCAGATCAACTATTAAGGCTTCTGTTTAGCATTCCAGATGTATAATTCAACACACAGGCATTGCATTAGGTTCTCCTGCTTTGTCTTCTGAATCCAATGTTCAGACTTTATACACGTCTACAAGATCTTTCATTTTTCCTAACCCAACTTCTTGTTGTCCTTTTTAATACTTGAGTGTCAGAAGATTGTAGTAGTAAAGATTGTTCTGTGTGCAAGGACCTTGTGAGGGTTTATTCTACTTTCTTGACTTTGGTAAGTTTGTTTTAACAAGAACAAGAGTAGTTTAGATAAAATAAGGGTAAAAAAGTTGTTGGCTTCTCTCCACTTATATCACTATTGAATTTAGTAATATGAGCAAAATCAGTAATATGATTAAAAAAATATAGCATAGCATTTATTAAGTGAAGATATTATAGAGGTTAGATATGATAGAGGTAGGGCGGAGCTAATATTTTAGAGTCTTTTGTCTGGAAGGGTTTACTCTTCATTTGTTTTAACATGATTTTTTACCAAGATTTAAATAAATTTCACCATGATTTATTTTGCATTACTCCCTTTAACCTAAAATATGGTGTTATATTTTTTAGATAGTTCTGAATGGCAGACAAAACTACGCAGCTAGTGATGCCCAAACTTCAAATTAAAAGCAAGTTTCTTAGTTTAGAATGAATAACAGACACTGCAAAAGTAGTAAAGGTTGAAATACGAATTCTAAATCATGTTCATTCATACACTCCAAGTACTACTACGAAGCCTAAAAAGTCCCTATATGCTGCCGTTTTCCTGTCCATGGTTAGTGACTGCATGCTATGCAGACACATTGCATTTACCAAGAGTTTTATAGTTATATTTTACATTGAGTTTAAGAAAAAATATGCTTTGCATGTGTTGCACTAGTATTACAGTGATTTTAAAATGTGTTCCCATATTTTTAGGCAAACCATGTATGTTTTCAGTTCCATTGTGGTTTTATTATTTTGGTTTATAAGCTTGGCAAGATGGTTTTTTTTTTTATTTAATATACTGTCAATAAGTTCTTGAAAAGAACAATTTAAATCTGAAAACAAACTTTGATTTTTCTTATTATATTTCGTAAAAAAGTAAGCATTACAATGGGGTTATTTATTAAACTTTGCTGCTTGGATGAGATCTCTGTATTTGCTTTTTATGCAGTCTGAAAGATGAGTTGAAAAGGATTTCTGAAAACTTGGTTTGTTTCCTTTCAAAATTCTTCTCTGTCTGCCACACATAACCCTCAAAGTTTTCTTGATTTTGCACTAAAAATGACAAGAATGTAAATTAATTCTCTGGTTTCATAGAAGGGTGCCTTGGGAGTGAAAAAAGCTCATGGTTTTTCATTGGGAACTCTCCTGTGGTATAATTAATGTTCTTTTTTTAAATAGTAACAAAACAAGTGAAAATGCTTTAAAGTCATCCATATTTACATATTATGTCCAGAGTGTTTCTAGTCTAATTGAGAATATAAACCAGTGTTCTCTATATATACTATGCCCTCAATTCCCTCAGATGCTTTCTGACCTCTTTTACAAAAGAACTTACACTAAGGTTTTTGCCATCTTATATCCACTCCCATTCTTCTATTTTAATGTCTCTGGTAGGTCATAAAACATTAATTGTAACAGGGTACCTGTTATTATACAAATTATCCTGATGAAAATTTCATCTGACAGCATCTCTGGCATGATTCCTCTTTCCAACAGCAGATCCACAGCAACCTCTGCTGTACCTATATGGGCCAGGCTTGTTAGTTCTGTGTTTTCCAAAGATCCCCTGTATCTTTTTTGGATAAAATGTTACCAATACATCCGAAGCCGATGACTGTGATAGTCACGTAGGCCAGCTTTGTGGCGTTAAAAGATCCTGAACTTTTGTTGTCCTCAGGAACAAAAAGCAAGTCTAATATCTTTTTCCTAGTTATCATTGGAAAGTAGAGTAAATGCAAGAGCTAGCGTGCTCCTGCAGTATATCAGATTTATGCCAAAGCTGACCTAAATTAAAACAGAAGTAGCAAAGGTTGTTAAACAAAACCTCCAGCATTGTAATGAGAAGTTAATCTATACTTTTCCTTAAGAGGTCACTAGAGCACTCCCTTTTCTCAGGGGCCTTTTAAACAGCCTGCCATGAGACAGAGGTACCTTCAGGAACTAAATGAACGTCCAAGAATCCCAACCAGGAGTTTGGCCTGAACAGCCAAGATCTTTACAGCTCAGTTCACAGCCAGCTGGAGATACTAGTAAATAGGTAGCAGGGATATGACAGTGCTGAAGAGGAGACCTTATCCCACAAGTGTTTGTATATCGTTTCATGGTTTGGCTAACTAGTATCTATTCAGGAGCAGAGAAAAGCTATATTTGTCCTTAGACATAATATTTTATTCCTTTGTGGCATTTTTAAGAGAAAACTAATATAGAAATCTAAAAGGCTTTAAAGCCCCATTCTCCCTGCATCCCCTCTGTCCCCCCCAAATTCTTATGCCACAGACAAGATGCTTTTCTACCTTGGTGTCTGGAGCTTCTACTTCATGTTTTAGAGTGATGAAAGAGCTAGTTTCATATTTATTTCAACTTCCAACCAAACTTATTGTGCACTTTTTCTGTCCTCTTTAAGAGTTGTTTGCATTGTTGAGCCAAGTAATTAAAATATTACAATTGAGCAGCTGCACCCATCACCCCTTTAAAAATATTTGTTTCTTTAAAATCAATTTACAGAGTATACGTTATATTAATCTGTTATTTTGTTCATGTGCCTTTCCTGTAACCATTATAATACTTCCCTCCTTTAGTCTTGCAGTGCTTCTGGATGGCAGTGTAATCGTGAATGTATTGACGCTTCAGAAATTCTCTCCTTTGTTAATTTAGATAAGCAAAGCACGTACCTATGAATCACAGTAAGATCATTAGGAAAATTCTAACCTTGGTTCAAAAAGCATGTTTTCTTTTATTCTCTAAAACATAAGCACTATCATATCTTAACCTTTTCTTATATATCAAGGTATTTTTCTTCTCCACATTTTTAAAGTAAACTGTTACTCAGAATATTAGCTAGAACTGTACTATCTGTGCATACAAGGTGCAGAACCTTTTCAGGATCTACTTTAGATGGTTACAAAACCTTCCTTTTTGACCAGCCAGGTCATGCATCATGGAGTAAAAAAACTAATTAATGAGTTTCAAGTCCATCTGAGGATATAAGAACCAAAAAAAAAGGTGGCATGGCAAGTCTTGTAATAGCCCCGGAAGCTCTGCTTTAAAGCCATTGGTGTCGTTCTATTTTTAGGTCTTATATGGTGCATGTAACTCTGTGAGCAAAGGCCTTGAAATTCATTTACAACTGTGTTAGTACTGACCAGTGAGCATTGAACACATAGTGGTGACCCATTGCTCCTTCACACTAAGGAGAATGGAAGCCATTTCATACCCCAGTGTTCTGCAGCCACTGCAGTGAGTCAGAGGTGTTACACAGTGTTAATTTTGTGCTCTCAATAGGTGCTGGACAGCAAAGCCTAGAAATGGTGCCTTGAGAAGTGCTACTGTATATACACTACATAGAATGGAAAAAATGCTTTTCAGTTTCTTGGTCCTGTACAGAAGAATGATGTTCTGCCAAGGCTGCTGGAATGTTTATGACTCGAAATCAGAGTGCTCAGCATGGTTTCCCCCATGCTGCATGGTGACCGTTCTCAAAGCTTGTTTAGTACAGGTATTTTTCAATGAGGTACCATCCACTGAAAGTAGGTGAACAGTGGAAGTCTGACTTAAGAGCTCCCAGGTTCCCATAGATGGGTATCCTTTACTGAGTCTGCTGGCTGGATATTGTGAAAATCTTCTTAGGGCAGATGCTCAGTGTTGTGTGCTATTAGTGAGAGGGGAAAAGAGTTCTCTCTGGAGAGTGTTATCCCTCAGAAAAGAAGTGTGAGTGGCAATAGGCTAGGAATGTAGTTGTCATCTTCAAGTTTGTTGTTATAATTTCTATAAATCAGTAAAAGTAGTTGGCATATGGCAGAGTGCCATCTGAACACTTGAGTTTTGCTGAGTGTTTTCACTACTTCTTGTTTTGAGAAGCAATTGCATTTGGATTTAAGAACTCAGCAAGAATCTCTGCTTCTTGTAAAACAAGAGATATTACAAGCAGTTGCTCCTTCCAGTAAAGCCCTACAGAAGACTGACTCGTTGAGAGCCAGTACCTGTAGCTGATTTATTGCTCCGTAAGTAGCAGCACTTCTTGATTCCCACTGAGTTCATAACAGGACTGAGTAGCAGCTTCCTTACATAGAGACACAAATTCCTCTTTCCCCTATTGATGCAGTACCTCCTGTTAGTACAAGTTCAACAAAAGTGGCTTTCTGTCCTTCACAAAGAAGGTAAAGGTGCCCAGGGAGTTTGAAACCATTCCACTTTTTCTCACATCAAACATTGTAATTATAGTAATTGCAGTTAATTCAAGCACAACAATAACATAAAAATACCTAGAAAACAGTCAGGAATGTTCCAACAGATGCATTTGTATTATGAAACTTTCCTCTCTTGGAAGAGAACAGTAATTCACAGCTGAGGAACTTCTCAGTTATACAGAAAAAAATCTCCCATTAGCATGTCAGTATTCAAAGATGAATTTATACCATAACTTCTTCGGTAAGCAAGGTTTCAGGCTGACCAAAAATCTTCATACTGTTAGTTTGCTGTTGTTGCTATTTCTCTAAATGTGCCTTTTTTTTTTTTTACTTCAGCAGAGTCATCAATGTGTTGAAGACATATATTTGAAAGGTGGGGAACTAGTGGAAGAGTTGCAACTTTTTGAAGATACAAACCTTTGCGTACTTTTCTTGTTGCATACCTGGAAAGTAATAAAGGGTATGTATCATTTCAGGTTTGGTTTTTTTCAAACTTCTGCCTATGTTATAAATTATTGATCATTTTCAGCAGCCTAGACAAATTCACTATCAAAGCACCTGACTGAAACATACCTAAAGCTACAAGAGAAGGGGAAGCAGATATGAAGTTTTAATTAAATTTGAATGATTTGAATGTTATGACAAGTAAAAATAGAAAATTCAAAACTTGTAATATAACTAACTTAGTTGGCATTTGTTACATCAATTAGTGTCACTGGTGTTTTTTTTTTGGAGGGAAGGAAAGTTAGTTCTGTAACTTGCAGTCATTGTATAAAGGAAAAGAGAGAATATTTTATTCACTAGTTCACAGTATGCATTTTTTGGGGGAAAAATTACTTCTTGTTGTCTATGCATGCCGACTTTCTTTGTGGGGAAGTTCTCAGTAGTTCTTTGAACTTTTGTGAGTAACTGGTAAGTATTCAAAATCATAAAGTTAAACCATTAAAATATTCTTTGCATTGTAGTATTTGGAAAATTTCAGTTCAGTTTTGCTCATGTTAATGCATAATATTCAACAGTACCTTCCTCCTTCCTGATAGATGTATACTGTCAGGTTGTTACAATTAGGTTTGTTACTGTTAAGACATTGGTTGATTATCAATAATTACTTTCATAGGGATTTTTTAATTGTATGAACTTTTAGTTCAAAATAGTATGGAACATGAAAAATTATACCAAAACTAAGAATGTATTGACACCAAAAATTAATTTTGATTGCACTCACTTCAGTGAGTTTATACTGCATTTATGTAGGCTCAAAGTATCACTCAAGCTATCACTTGGTACTCTAAGTGAAGTTTCAAGTGTGACTTTTCAGTAACTGTGCAAGATTCTGTAGAGAGAAGCAGTAGATAGCACTAAACACCTAAAAGTGTTTTTAGAGAGTAGAATGAGCATCTTAGCAGTGAGGAGTGTATTAAGTGAAGGGGCCATTTTAGTTCAGAATGCTGAAGAAACGAGATATAAAATTATTTCCTTGACTCTGGAGGATAACAATTTCTTCAAAGAAAGATAAGGAACCCTTTTTTAAGCAGACGAATAGAAAGCCATTTAAAATTTGAGAATTTCAAGTGGCCTTGGAGCAAATAGAAATCAGATTATTGAAATGCAGCGTGTTTACTCTTGTTTCTTCTCTCTAGAAACTTCGTCGACAGTTTGTCAGAATGCAGCGGAATCTATTACATGGTGCATCTCAGCTGGCGCATGGGACCTGTTGGTTTTTTCCTCACACTACTGTCCTTCAGTGCTTAAAAGGACAGTCCATGTTGTCTAATGTGGGATGCAAAGTGATTTTGGCACTGGACCCCCCTAAACGATGTCTTCATGCAGGTGCAGCACACTTTGCCTCAAAGAAAACTGCTTTTCCATCACAGCCAGCAGACACTCCTCACAAAGAAGAGAGAAATCCCTTGCCTTCGGCCACTGATACACCCAAGCAGAGCCCTGCAGAGTCAGATCCTTTAGATCCTGATCCATTACAAGATAAATCAATTAGTCTCGTTCAGAGATTCAAGAAAACTTTTAAACAGTATGGAAAAGTCATGATTCCAGTGCATCTTCTGACTTCCACTGTATGGTTTGGATCCTTTTACTATGCAGCCATGAAGTAAGTTGATATTTTGTTGCAATGCACAATACCACGGTTGAATTGAGACTGACTTTCACAGGTGAAAGGACATATAAATTATTATTGCACGTAATGGGGAAATGTGGCTACATTTTAACTAAAGTATAAGGTTAATATTGAAAGTATATAGGGTTCATGAGAGTGTCACATACATACTGCTGTCATCCAGTTATTGCTGTGTACCAAGTGTGTTGCCAATGTTTGAAGGAATGCTCATCTCCCCAGAATTATGCATGGATGTAAACAGCACTGAAATTATTAGTAACCTCTTAAAAGGTAAAGAGAGGGATTTGGAATCCTGATTAGGTGAGATCTTCATAGACCTTTTCTTTTTTTGCTGTTGGACTTCGGGGTATTTCACCACTTCTTCCCTGCTTCATCCCCAGTCTTCCCTCATCACTGGATTTTCATATCATTAACCTCATTTAGCTGTTCACAATCTATGTATATCCTTTCCTTTTTTATTTCTGTTTCCTGTCTTTCCTACCATCCACTGAAAAAATTGCTACTGTGGGCCAGACTTTTTAATTGGAAATTAAATATTTGTGTGGTTGAAAAAAAAAAAGATAAATTAAGTATTCTAATTTTAGTTTCTTTTAGTTATAGCATGGGCCAGATACTGCTCTGGAAAATGGCATTTATTAGAAAAACATCACTACATCAACTATAAGCTGCTAGTTTGCTAGTTCAGATGAAAGAGGTTTTATTCATCTGCAAATAGTTTTGCTAAATTTGCTAAATATGAGCAAATGTTTATCTCTGGACTGCTAATGTTGTATATTTAATAATAGAAAGCGTGAAACAAGGACAGTTCGTGGTGGCAAGGATGGGACACTGACATCAGAATGCCTTACTGCACAAGTGTTTGTTTTAGTTACTCTAACCAGCTGGCATAATTGCCCTTTCTGGGAGCTATAGATCCAAATGTCATTCTAAATTTAGCTCATGTCAGAGGAATAAAGGTCTTGAGCTATAAAAATATTTGCTTTGGATGAATTCAGGTTGATGCTTACATCCAGACATTTCATATAGAGTGAAGATTACTTTTCTTGAAACTCTAAAGCTAGCTGCTAAAGTAGGTATTTGGCTGAGGAAAACAAATATTTAACTAGAAACTAATTATAACAAAGCTTCAGTTTGTCATGCCAGAAGAGCAGGACCCTGTTGAAGTGGAAAAATAACTTTCAGAATGACTGCTCATGATACGAGACTAAACAGTGGCGGTTTATGAAACAGCACGGTTAGTACTGTCTGTCACATCTTACTAGGTCTCCATTTTCTACTCTGGCAATAGGCCTTCAGATTCTAGGTTCTAGTAACTGTTAGTAAATTACTGCCTGTTATTGTTCCTGATGCTAAAGCGTCTGCATGCTCAGAAGAAGGCTTAAATTATTAGGTAGAAATGGATAATGATACTAATAATGCAGCATCTCTAAATATTGGAAACTCAAGTCTTCTATAACTTCTGTATACAGTTTTCTACTGTAATATAAAGATGGGCTTTTTTTTTTCCTTTGGTGCTGATGTTAGCTTTCCTGGCTTTCGAATAGAAAGAAATTGTGATAAGAGCTCCCTCCACCCATCTTAACACCTTATGTTGACAAGGGAGAGCAACTGAGCACAAAGCCCCTGAAGTCTTGTCCATATAACACATTGTTTCCTCTTCCTTTGCCGCATTCCATTTGTTTGATATATTTGAAAGTCAATGGAGAATGTTGTCTGAAATTTTAAAAAGAAAAAAAAGTAATTAATTTTAGGCAAAACAGAACATGAAATTGAGCCTGCACAGCTGGAGCCTGAATAGCTATCTTACCACCTTTATATCTACTTACCTTCAAACATAAACTGGGACACAGGTGAGTTAGAAGCTACTCAACCCAACAGGGATAATATAAATGGGTCACCTTTTGGAATGCTGAAAAGAACATTAATTTGCCCATTTGTTCAGAAATATAAATCCTGTAAGTATATTGCTTAGATGAAAAAAACGCTTTGCTCTCAAATTACAAAGTTTGTGTAATAGAGTTAAAGAATGGAAATAGTGCTCTCAATAACTGTTCAGGTTTCAAATTCCAAATCAAGTTACCAGCTTTTTTCTCTTTTATAGTGGGGTGAATGTTGTTCCATTCCTAGAGCTGATTGGCTTACCAGACAGCGTAACAAGCATCCTGAAAAATTCCCAGGGCGGAAATGCACTAACTGCATATGCATTGTATAAAGTAAGTATAGTTTGTACGTAAGCTCTAAATCTTGCCTGGTGAACTAAACAGGGTTTGCTCATTTACAGCAGAAAGAATTCATTAGCTTTCTTTGATAGTTACATATACTTGAGCATTCCTTTTTGTAGTAAAAATATTCACATGCAAGCTGGTATGTGTTGTGTGTCCTTCAAGGAGTCTATATGTATTTCTAAAATAACTTCTTCACTGCAGAACTATTGTGTGCCCTCTGAGATTTAATTACAACTAAGTTATTCTTCTGTATCCCTGACATAATTAACAGGGACAAAGAGGTAAAGCCTAAACACCTCGTTGAATTCCAGATAGAAGTACAGTTATTTTTATCCTAGAGGATTCTCTAGTTTCTCTTTCTACCTTAGTTGTTCGTCACTGTCAAGTACTTTCATTGTCTGTTTGAATCAATTAGTTGCATTCAGGCTTGGGGGGGTTTTTATTGCTTTATATGTGCATAGTCTCTGTATACAAGGTATTGTATTTGCTGTACACACCACTATTTGTTTTGTTTACAAATGTGATGTGCTTCTTACCTGTTATTTAAAGGGGTTTTCTTCCCAAACAAAATGTGAAAATACTACTCTTCACAATTATTCCTGTGCCTAAAAGAAGACCAATAAATAAATGTGGTTAAATATAAGGATGTTGTTATAGCTGGGAGATTTGACAGTGTTGGAAGAAACTCAGTGTTCACATACTGTTTGTTCTGAATTGCATTCTGAGATGCCTAAAGCTTGTCCCACAAGCTGCATGGGGAGGGTTTGTGTGGTGGTGGTTTTTGTTGGTTTTTTTTTAATGGAAATCTAATGCCCTTGCTGGCTCTGTCAAAATGATACTTTAAGTAGAAGGTATGCATTTCTGGAGGATGCTCTGTAAATTGGCTTATTTTCATATAAATTGAAGATATCTTTAAAAGTTGCCACTGGTCAAAATAAATGTTCAACGTTTAAAATACCTATTGCTGTATGTTATTGTCCTGTTTTATTTATGCAGTGTGTTCTTTGATTTCTTTAAGATTGCAACTCCTGCCAGATACACTGTGACTTTGGGAGGAACATCCATCACTGTTAAATATCTACGTAAGAGTGGCTACATATCCACACCACCACCAGTAAAGGAATATCTACAAGACAGGATGGAGGAAACAAAGGATAAAATTACAGAGAAGATGGAGGAAACAAAGGATAAAATTACAGAGAAGATGGAGGAAACAAAGGATAAAATTACGGAGAAGATACAAGAAACCAAAGATAAAGTCTCATTTAAAAAAATAAAGGAGTAGAAGAGATGCTTAATTTCTGGATATATCAAACAGCACTTTAACCCTTTGTGAGGCAGGATATGCAAAGTGCACTTCTGAGCTTTTTTTCTTTTTATTCTTTTTGTTCTTTTTCGTTTTTTTAACTTTGTCTGGAGACTACAATTGCTATGGGGATTTAAAGGTTGAAGTTCCCTGGGGGAGAGGTTGTGACAAAATCTCAATTTACAGAAGGAAAAGTGAATCTCATGCTAGAAGTTAATATGTCCATTGGTCATAGTGTTAACAGTTACTCTTCCCTCTTCTTTTTTTTTTCCACGCCCTGCTTCTCAAAATGGAGATGGTTTCTGCCAAAAGCCACTGCTTTATTCTTCTTCCATCGTAGTGCACAGCCATTATTCCATTAGACTCTGAACCTTCCATTAAATGAGAATGAAGATTTCTCTATTGGGAAAGGCAACATATTTAGGTTTTTAGAGTATGTGGACCCAAGCCTCTTCAATCGTGATCATCTCTCAGCTTGGAGACAGACCATTGTCACTGATACTGCACATGAAGGAATCGATGGATTGATCCTGGGATAGCCAGAATGAATTACAATGGCTACACTGACTTCAGCTGGGCTATGATAGTTTACAGGTTGAGACTATGAATCTTTCTTGGACAGTGCATGTTCTCAGAAATCTCAACTGAAAGCTATAGGAAGATAAGTTAATCACAGTAGCCATACTGTCAAGTATACTTTGTTTCCTAAAGATGATTTACATCACTAAATGAAATTAATCAATAATTGTATATTGAAAACTAGGATTTGTTTATTGTGTTAAAGTTTAAAAACCTGCTCTATTTCATTCTTGAAACAAATAAAAAGCTTGAAAGAGAAGTTTATTTGAGAAATTGCTGTACTAAGGGGCTTTTAAAACACATAGAAAGTTAGACTTAAACCCAAGAGTTCCTCCTACGTTTCAGAAATCCTTCAGACTTCAGTAGAACAATTTGAGTAAAATAAGCATGATTTTTGAGACAGTGATCACAGTCTACCAAATTTTTTTTTCCCCTAGATTTTCTTAAGTCAAGCAAACATTCATAGCTGAAGGCTGAAATGCTGCCTCAGAGATGTCATAAAGGACTAAAGTTGAAACTGTTCTATTCGACTGGGCAGACAGACTTCTCTCGGTCTTACTCAAACAAGGCTAAATTGAAAGTGTGTTTTTCCTGTTTCTACTACAGATCTCACTTGGTAGCAACTCTGCCTGTGTATGTTGTTTAACCAAAGGTGCTTTTTTGCAGGGGTTAGAGGGAAGCAACAGAGTTGGACCCTGAGCATTGTAATTGACTAGAGTAAAAGAATATAGCTGATGAACTATCAGCTCTGTCCCACTGTCCTGTTTTCATTCAAGTCACTGAGGGCCTCTCCGTGTTTAAGTGAGTTGAGCTTCATTAACTTAATTGTGCAGGATTGATTACATACTTCTCTGCCTCTGTCCACATGTCAAATAGTAACTGCAATCTAATGCCTACCTCACAGGGATGTTGTGAGGAATAATCATTGTATATTCAGTGACCTAAAGATGTAAAGTGCCATGTTTCTGATAAACATTATTAAAAAAAAATATTTCTGTGAACTCTTATGATGCTAAGTACTACTGTAGGGTTGGAGTTAAGAGTTGCTATTTTATTTTTCTGTTTTGGTGTCCTTTTCCTTATTGTCCCCATGCACACGTTCTCCTGCTGTTGGCATTTTTTCTGGTTTTCTGCTTTTGGGGGCAGTGTTACCTGTGTCCTGCAGAATCCTGCAAAGCCTGAAGTCTGCCTCAATAATATTGCATGGTCATTCTCAGTCTGGGGCCAGATGTGGGACCCTCTTGATGCAGCTCACAGGATCCATCTCTTCTTTGCATGTGGCAGGGATTGCACAGGGGCACCTTGGTGTGCTACGATGAGTTTGTAGCCATCAGGCATGTTAGAACTTGTTTGTTACACAGGGTACCCCCCTCTTCTTGCCCTTCCCCTCATCCAGCTGGCCAGTGACCACTCCAGTGCTTACATGATCCATCACTACTAATGCTAAGTTCAAAAGCTATGTGCAGTTGACTGCCCTATATGACCATTTCTGCATCTGCAGAAACAGCTCCCAGTGACTATTGGCAAATGCTTCCTCTGTGTACTGTTCAGTCAATTTTGCAGCATGAACAAGCTTAAGTTTCTGGGACAGCCACATCCTCCACCCAGGATGTCAATTAACAAAGCACACAATTACGTGGATCGATCTGTACAAAGCGGGAGAGGAAATCTTCAGGGCTTTGAAAATCTGACCTGGAGAGCTTTTGTGACAATTAGTCAAATGCTTGGTTGTACTGGTGAGCTTGTCTCAAATTGGCCTCATCTGGAATCAATGCATTGCCTCATTAGCGCAGAGACCAGCTGGGGAGTTCCTGGGCCCCCCAGTGAATGAATGTTGGTCCATTGGGTGCCCAGCGGGTACCCAGCTGCACTGCAATTGTAACTATTGCATAAAGTTGACTTTCATCCTGTATCTCTCTTATAAATTAATTTCCATAGGTTGTGCCACAATACTAGGGTGCAGTTCTTGTTAGTGACAGTAAGACTTAGTGTGACTCTGCATGGCTGGAGGGGCAGTGTGCCCAGGCTGGGGTAAGGAAGGGGGAACCTGGGGACAACACAGGATCTTCTCTTACTGGTGCCCAAGCCAGCAAAGTTGGCACACTTGTGGCAGCAGTGTCACTCAAGGTGGAGCAGCATCAGTGAGTGTCTTCGGTAGCACAGAGGAGCAGGTGCCGTGGCCTGGGAAAGCAAAACACTTTGGCTGCAGCACCTAGAGCTGGCACTGAGGCAGCCCACAAGGGACTCAAGCAAGGGAGTGCCCAGCAGAGTGCCAAGAGTCCTTGGTGAGGTGAAAAGCCCAGGTAGAAGCCCAGCAGCACCTTCCATTGCCCACAGGACCATTCAGTCAGTGCTGTCAGGGGTTGTCTTTTTCCCTGTCAGCTCAGCATCCTCAGGGCTGTACTTTTACCTGTCCTTCAGGCCCTAGAGGGGTGGGTGGGGGTGGGGTCCCTCCACCTCTGCAAAACTTCAACAGTCTGGTGAGACCAGGACTAAGGCATCTGTCACCTCATGTACAGCAGAGAAATAGCTGCTTTGGCAACTTACCATGCTTCTGTCTGCTCCCGGCCTCACACGTAACACTGCTGTAGAGCATCACCTGTTTACTTCTGCAATAGGTACATACATGAAGGCACTGAGTGCCTGCCAGAGCAGAAGCTGAAAACAAAGTCACAGCCCAAGTAGAAGCTGAAGCCCTGGAAGGAACCTTACGGCCTGATAGTTGACAAAGTTGCAACCTGCGATGGGGCTCCACCTGAAATTGGAACAGCACTCAAATGTAACGCTAGAGTGAAAGTTACAACCCAAGAGAAGAGTACATGCTGTGATCAGAGCAGGGAATCAATGCCAAAACTGGGGCCCCAGGATGGAACTAGAGTAGATGTCAAGGTCCAAGCAGAGGTCAGATCTGAAATCACATGCCAAGATGGGGCTGGAGCTGAAGTTGCAAATCAATGCAGAGCCAGAGCCTACACCACAACTCACTGTGTGGCTGGAGCCTAAGCTGTGGCTTAAGATGGCAAGAGACAAAAACCACAGCCCAAGCAATGACCAGAGCAGCTGAAGATGGGCCTAGAGTCAAAGTACCATCCCAACAGAGACTGGAACAAAAATCACGGCCCAGTATCAGGCCAAAGCAGCAGTTGCCACCTGAGGTAGTGTCAGAGCCAAAAAAATCATAAGCCATGATGGACTAGAACCAAAGCCATGGCCAGAGATGGGGGCCAGAGACTACACTGCTGCCTATACAGCAGCCAGAGCAGCACTTGCTGCCTGAGCATGGACCAGAGCCAAATATGAGTTGGAGGGAAGTGGTGGCCAAAGGTAGGGCAGAAACTGAAGTCACAGACAGTTATTGGGCCAGAGCCGAAATCATGACCAGAGATGCTACTGAGATGAAGAATAGACCAACATGGGCCTAGAGCCAAAGTCACAACCTGCTATCCAACCCTAGCTAAAGTCACAAACCAAACAGACACTGGAGTGAAGTAGCAATCTGTTGTTAAGCCAGACCTGTCTCAGGCAGTGCCACTGATGCTGCATCTCAAGATGAGGTTGGAATAGAATTCATAGCCCTATATGGGACTGGAGCTGAAGTCATGATCCAGATAGGGGCAGGAGCAGGGACCAGAGCTGAAGTCACGACCCAAAAACTGGTTCAGAGCCCAGGTCGTGGCCTCATGTTGGACAGAAGATGAAGATGTGGCTTGAAAATAGCCGCCACTGGTTGCAATAAAACAGGGCTGAAATCACTGCCCAATAAGAGGTCAGAGACAAAGCTGCAGCCTGAAATGGGCTAAAGCAGAAGTCATGAACCAAGCAGGGATCAAAGCCAAAGTTGCAACCCAGTATTGAACCAGAGACAAAGATGCGGATCGTAAAGTAGCCACAGTCACAATATGATATGAGACTGGAGCTGAAGTAGCAGCCAAGATAAGAGCTGCAATAGCCTCCCAAGCAAGGCCAGAGCCAAAGTTGTGATCAAGTCACTGGCAAAGTATCTGGCCAATATCAGGCCAGAGCTTAAGTCACAGCCCAATACAGGGCCAGAAACAAAACTGCAATCAGATATCAGGTTGGAGCCAAAGCAGCAGCCTGAGATGGGAATGAAGCCAAATTTGTGGCCTGAGCAATAGATAGAGCCAAAGTTGTGGATGAAGATGTGGCTGGAGACAAAGTCACAAGCCAAGATGGGGCCAGAGCCAAAGCCATGGCCTAAACAATAGCCTCCTGAGGAGGGGTCAGGCCCAGAGTCTGAACAGAGCCAAAGAAGAATGCAACGCAGCAGAGCAATGGCCAAAGCCAAAGTTTGGCCAACAATGGGGCTGAAGCCAAGTTTCAGTCCAAGATGGGGCTAAGAAAAAAATCTTGGCTGAATATTGAGCCAGAGCTACAGCAGCAGCCTGAGGTGGGCCAGAGCTGAAATCCCTGCCTGAGATAGGGCAGGAGATAAAGTCTCACTCCAGTATCTCTACAAAGCTGAGGTCAACAGCTCAATTTGGCACAAGTGCTGAAGTCACAGCCCAAGCAGGGGCCAGAGCCAAAGCTGCTGCCCAATATCAGGCCGGATCCAAAGTCACAGACCAAGACAAGGCAGAGCAGAGTTAAAGACCAATCAGGGGCACAGTAGACATGGGAGCCTGAGCTGGAGCCAAAGTCACAGCCTAATATCAGGCTGGGGACAAGCTCATGACCCAAGATGGGACCAGAATCAAAGCTGTGGCTCAGGATGGGGGCTGGAGCTGTGATGATTGCTGAAGATGGGGTAGGAAACATGGTGATGGCCCAAGATGGCTCCTGATCTTTACTCACAACCTGAACAGAGGTCAGACCTGAAGTCACAGCCTGAAATGGGACCAGACGCAAGATCACAACCCAACCAGGAGCCAGAGCTGAAGTTACAGCCTGATATCAACTTGGAACTGAAGCTGTGGCCCAAGATAGGGCCAGAGCAGGAGCTGGAGCCGAACTTACAGCATGATATGCAGCCAGAGCCAAAGCTGAAGCCCAAGTACTGGCCTGAAACAGTCAGGAGCAAAAGCTGCAGACAAAGATGGAGCTGAGTGGAAACTGCAGCCCAATACTGGGCCAGAGCTGAATTTAAAACCTGAACAGGACACAGAGTCAAAATTGTGGCCTGAGATGGGATCAGAATCAAAGTCATAGCCTGACAGGGGGACGGTGCCAAAGTCATGGCCTGGCATCAGGCTGGAGCTGAAGTCTCTACCCAACATGAGCTGAAAGTTTGCCCTGAGCAATGGCTGGAACTGAAGCAATGGCTGAAAATGGGGCCAGTCAAAATAACGTCCTGAACAAAGACCAGAACCAACCACAGTTGAAATTAACCACCAAGCTGAAGGTGCAGTTGAGCCTCCCGAGGAGGGCTGGAACCAAAGCCACGACCCAGTATCAGGCCAGAGCCACAATAGTGGCCCAAGATGGGGATGGAGCCAAAGGTGAAGCACATTCTTTTGATTGTGTCCCCTTCAGGGCGTCAGCTTAGAGCATTGCACCACATTCATTCTTGTTCATCACTTACCATCAGCGACAATAATAATTAGGGAATCGTAATTATCCCCTGGCAATTAGCTGCTGTTTTTATGATCTTCTTAAGTAGAAAGGATATACCTTGATTTCATAAGCCTGCAGGGCAACATGTAGTGTTAAGTTTGTGCTTGAGTTTGATGAATTGATTGGACAATTGCAGAGGAGGGAACACAGGGGACGATACTCAGGCTTGTTTAGGAATGAAAAAAAAAAACAAACCCAAACAAAAAATCCAGACTTAATACAATAGGGGAAGAGTTTCATAAAGAGACATAATTAAAGAAAGATCTTTAGCTGCTTCTGGGTCTGACCGAGTGGCCAGAAAGAGACTAAACTGCAAGCAGAGGAGCCTCTAGCTCTGTTAAATTCTCCAGCATTGTTTTAACAAAGTTTTCTTAAGTTCGTGGTTTTGTTTTTAAGGTACTGTAAAAAAAAAATCAGTCAGCAAATCTGCTGCTTTTTCTGTGCAGAATTGGTATAACTGAAACTGCTCTGTGCTTTGGAGGTGCCAGACAGGAGACATCCTCGTGACATGAGTCATGAGCTCCTCTGAGCTCAGAGAGCACTTGCTGTTCCTTGACACGGCAGCAAGTGCAGCTCTCTCTGCCCAAGGGTAAGGGTGGTTGTGACAATGCCCACCTCTGGAGGTGGAGCCCCACTTCTCTAAATCTTGTCCACCGCCATAAAGAACAGTCCAATATAGGAAAACAAAGGTTCAGGTAATCCCCTGTGTCCCAGTGCTCTGAGAAGGTAGCACTGATGAGCTCATGGAGATAACAATGGGTGATGCTGGCAAGATCTCATTTGTAACCTTTGGGCTCCAGCATTCCCTAGGATGAAAGAGGATGCTCAGGGAAGTGGTTGATTCACCATGCCCGGAGGTATTATTTAAGTGATGTGTAGATGTGCCACATAGAGACATAGTTGAGTGGTGGACGGGGCAGTGTTAATAGTTGGATTTGATGATCTTAGAGGTCTTTTCCAAACCAAACAATTCTAAGATTCTATGATTCTAGGAGTAACTCATGAACTGTGCATTGATATTACTGTGTTAGGTGGCTGGAGTAGCTGAACTACTACTGTTTGACTAGACTGCTGCCAAACGCTGTTTTGATAATGTTGGTTCTCCAAGGGGGTAAATCCAAGTTTAGCATACTTAGCACTAGATTACATTTGCCATGGCTTCCTAACGTGTACAGTGCAGTATGGTCTCAAAACGCTTGAACATGCTACAGTTTTTGAGTCAACTCCATTGTCAGTCTGACTCATTATAGTATCAAATAGTCTGTGTACTCATTCCTTTAATCTCATGCTAAATCAAGGATCTTATATACTCTTGCAATCAGACTAAAGTCATAAAACTGACGCAGTTCCACTTGAGATGCTGTGCTTGAATCCATCTGGAATGCAGTAATGTGAATCAAAACTGTACTGCTGGGTGACTAGTAGTGGAACAGATCCAGCACCAGGGTGTCTGGGCAACCTCTGTGACCTAAAGCAGGCATGGAGAGACAGTACAGGCTCTTTGCAAACTCCGCCTTGACCTGGCCCTCGTGCTTACTGGTGACCTCCCATTTGGGATCTCAAAGCAGATGGAGGCAAAATGCAGATCCACCACTAGGTTCTAAATACACAAGCTGCAAGTTTACCACGTGGGGTTTTTTTATTATTTCATAGGGATTTGTCCATAAATGCCAAAAGAGTTGCCAGAGAGCTTGTAAGGACGTGGATCTGAGAGAACATGAGAGAAGTTAGAGATGAGAAGTGATGCTTCACTGGCCCTTCAGGCTTAATAGACTCTGCAGTAAGTGGCACCAAGTACCCTCAGCTGGCACTGACAAGCACCTCCCACCGGCGCATTTGTACCAACAGTGCTGTTCTTTATCCAGGCACTCTGAGTGCCGGCTTGGAGCACCTTTCCCCCAAAAGCAAGTGCCTGCACACAGCTGTGGCCTTCAGCCCTAATGTGGCAGCTGTGTTTTAATGCAGGAGAAGACACTTTGGATGAATTTTAGTGAAGGAAGGGAAATTTCTCA